GAGTGGTGCAGGTTCAGACATCACCCAGGAGAGGACGATTGGCCAGGAACCATGTTGGAGAGGGATTAACTGAGCTCAAAACTCATAACCACTGCTGACTCCACCTAGTGGACCCCAAAGCCCATAGACAGCACACTAACTGCTGTAGGCTGAATGGGTCTGGACACAAACCAACCTGAATTTTAGGGCAAATCACGATTAAGGATGCTGGGAGATTGCTGAATCAATCCACTGATTGGATTGGCACCACCCCTAATCCCAGCATTCTGAATAAAAGGGACAGAGAGAGACTTGTTTTGCCCTTTTTTGCTCTTGCTGCTTTTGCTGTCTTTTATTGCCATGAACTCTTGCCCCTCTTCCACACCACTCTACCTTGGAGCCAGCTGATTATGGACTGAAACCTCCACAAACCGTGAGCTAAATAAATCTTTCCTCAACTTGAAGTATCAGGTGTTTTGTCTCAGCAATGAGAGAAAAGTAACAAAGATACTCACTTCCAGAACTTGTATTTCAGTAAGATGGAGAATGCAGAAGAAATCGACAGATTCTTGGATACACAAGAATTACCAAAGCTGAATCAGAAAGATATAAAAAGTCTAACTGAACCAATAACAGTGATTGAAATCAAGGATATAATTAAAAACTTACAAATCTAAGTACAGGTCCTGATGGATCCATGGCTGAATTCTGCAAGATATTTGGACAAGACCTAATATCATTACCTCCCAAACTCTTAGTGAAACTGAAAGGGGAACGGTATTCCCAGATTTATTCCTAGAAGCAAGCATTACCTTGATACCAAAACTAGAGGGTCCAACCAAGAAAGAGAAATACAGACCATTTCCCCTAATGAAAAGGGGGGTGAAGGAAAAATGGAAACAAAGCTTTTGTCAACAAGAAGGAGAAGAAAGACTGAAGGGAGGGTAACAGAACAGGGGAAAAAGAGTGAAGTTATTTCAGATACGGGTACAAATTCCCTATTATGAATGCAGTCATTACGCATAGCTAAAATGCACCAATAAAGATCATCTTCTATGAAAAAAAAAAAACAAGGAAATGTGAACCAAAAGAAAAAAAAATAAGGAATGGAGAGCAATGAGAAAAAGGAACCAAGATGTATTACACACATATTCTAGTTCCCTGCAAGGAGTGTAAACAGCACTAAATGTGTTCTAGTACAGTTAAAAAGGGCCAGGCGAGAGCGCCTGTAGCTCTTGGTAGCCCCGAGGTACCTGCCAGTGTCGGTTATGGCAGACGCCCTTTAAAAGAACCCAGGGCCTGCTTGTGGATGCCTCCTCCCACCCACTCCCTTTACCCCCTAAGATGAGGAGGAGAGATTGTGTGTGTGTGTGCATGTGCACGCATCAGTGTTTAAGGTGAACACATGGAATTAGTAATATAATTGTATTTTTGGCCACTGCATGGGAAAAAATTCCTTTTAGGCTGTGGTGGATTCTTGTGCATCTATTTGTTTCCATCCATTCAAGAAGGGACTTCGTGGTCCTTGTGTAGACTCATTTACCAAGTGGCGGTAACATGTATTGTTTTGAAGGCTTGAAATATTAAGGTAGATGAGAACTTTGATCTCGCAGTTCCTTTTCTCCTGGCTTCATGTGCCACCAAAAACTAGAGTGTTTCTTTAGTAAAAATTTTTAATAGGAAACTGAATCACTCAAACCAACATAGGCCTCTGATGTCGTAAATCGGTTATTAAATAGAAAGGTAGTGCCGCTCACCTCTCCCTGTCTCGGCCTCTGTCTCCATCCTCATGATGGACCAAGTACCCTCCAGAGTTCTGTCCAAAGCCTTCTTGGTCCCTTTAGCTTTGTGACCCCTGTGGCACTGTCAGTGTAAGCCAAGTGCTTCTGGTTTACACTGACTGCGTTTTCAGAGATGGGCTGCAGGGAATCCTTCCATTGAGGTGCTCTCTCTCCCACCAGGAACAAAGTTGGGGAGAAATTACCATGAAGCAGTGGCTGGATGTTGCTGAAGGCTTGCGTCTCAGACCCTCTCAGCTGCTACCTGGTTAAATCTTTGTGCCCTCCTGGCCTTTCACTGGAGCCTGGAGCACTATGTGCATCTGCTGTTGCTGGACCTTTCCTGTCCCTCTTGTTACCTGTGCTGACTGCACATAGATCTTTCTGCCTGTTGGGCTTCTCCAGTGCCTGTCACTGCTCCTGTATCACAGACTGCTTTCACGACCCTGTCTTGCACACACTTGTCCTCTCTGGGACCAGGCACCCATACTACCACTTAAAGGGGTGCAGTATGTCTTGGCACCTCTGAGGCAGGACAGTGTGGCAGGGGGTGACCCGTGGAAAGGGTTACACTTTGGCAGCAATGGGCAGAGTGAGAGACTGTGCGAGGTAGAAGCGCTGCAGTGGGGAGCACAGCAATCACCGCCCTCCATGGGGCACTCCCCGAGCTCCACCCTGAGTGCAGGACAGTGGGGGACACTGGCATCAACACTGCCGGGGCCCCCAGCAGAGGCAGAGTCCATCAGAAAGCAAAGCCTATGTCTGCAGGAGGTGCTGGGACGTGGTGGTGGTATGTTGGTGGAGTCCCTTGTTTTCCGTGTACTTCATCTCCAGTCAGATGTGTGATAATGACTTCTGTTACTCCAACTTGTTAGAGTCAGAGGCTTCCTGGCAGATGATTAATTTCTACTCTTGAGTTTTCTTCAAAGCCAAGAATCTCGTTGCCCATGGAAATTCAGCAGCTCCTGGGGGAGGGAAGTGTTGTGTATGGGGTCTGCCTGGGAGGGCGGCCGGCATGTCTCACCTTTTATATGATAGGTGTGGGTCATTTCCTGCAGTGACTGTCCCCAAGACTAAATCTATGTTGAAGCAGAACACAGACACACCTACTTATTTCAGAAATAAATGTTGCACAGAGCAGAATTTGTTTTCTCAGAGTCATATGTTTTGAATTTTTTCTTCTTTTTTTTGAAAAAGTGCTGGTTGCAAAATAAACTGATTGCCTAACACATACATATATCTGGGTGAGGCTAAAGAACCGGACCTGTCGGACAGGCTTCCTGGGTTCTGCTCATGGAGTCGCACTTCCTATGGCCACAGCCTTGCTGGGGATGCGACATGGAGGCAGGAGGGGAGCAGTGAGGACTCGAGGATGCCCAGCTGGGCCAAGGCAATCACTCCGTCCTTCTGGAAGGGTAGCATCTTCGAGGAACATAGCTTCCTGTCTTTAGCAGTGTATCCTCAGTTTTCTCCAGAAGGAGGTGCATAGGGACAGTTCCATTATGTGGGTGACAAGGAAAGGGCACTGTGCCGCTTGCTGAAAGGTGGGTGCTTCAGCTGCCATGGTGACAGTTGCAGTTCTCATGCCTTGAGGATTCTTTTGTGACAGGGCTGTGTTTTGTATTAGATTCTTACTTCTATCCAGTGAAGCAGATGCTCTGTTACTTGCAAGTGAGGTAACTGCCTGGGGTTAATCCTGTGCCAGACATGGCACAGCCAGCAGGTCCTAGGTCTGCCCCGTGCCCTCACAACCTGCTGTAGAACTCATCGTGTGCCTCAGAGGCAGCAGCTCTGAGTCCTCTCCGGTGTGTTTCTGGCTCCAGTTTCCTCCCTAGGAAACAAGGAACACATATGCCATAGAGCCAGGGATGAGGGATTCGGAGAGCCAGTGGTTAGGGAGTAAGGAGTCTTGAGAGTGAGAGGCACGGAGCCCTCGAGTCAGCAGCCGGCTGTGTCCACAGCTGCGCTCCTGTGTGACGTCCCCCGTGGAAGAGGAACCAGCTCCTCTTCTTGCCTGTCTGCAGGACAAGGAATGCTGTATCCGTTCTCGTTTATATTTGTCATATTATATTGTAAATTTTTAAATGTCACATTTTTATAAATTTCCCTGACCCACAGAAAATCTCCCCTGGAATATTTTTGCATTAAAAGCAGCTGTTTTTACTAAATGATTTGGTTGTCTACCTACTTAGAAAGCTCCAGAATGGACCTGCTGAATGGACCTTCTGGAAAACTCTGAGTTTCATTTCATTTCAACCAGCTCTTAGTATGTGGTTAACAAGATCACAGCTCATGTGTAATTGGAAGTCCCCAGTTGAAGTTTAGTGATTTCTTCACAGCCTTTACAATTTGGGATGTCAACTGTTGCTACTGAATCAGCAAGGGGAGATCGCCGTGGCCTTGGCGACCAGCTGATATAAACGTGCTGGACGTTCAGCTTACACTGAATCAATAGATGGGTTGTAAAGCATTTGCAAAGATGGAACTTTAAAGCATTTAAAGTGTGTGTTGCTGCTGTTTTTTCCAATGCTGTGCCATAGCCTCAACCTCTTTTATTTTGAGCTATCAAGGTTTTGCTAAGTTGCCGAGGTTGGTCTCAAATTTGGAATCCCCTTGCCTCAGTCTTCTGGGAAGTTGGGGTTACAGGCACGCACCAGCGTAAAGCATTCTTTCTGAAGGCTTGTTTTTAATAAAAGCTGTCATTTTGACATGGAGTGTGTGTTGCTTTTCAGAACAACTCCTGGAATTCATGCACCAGCTGCCTGCCTTTGCGAACATGACGATGTCGGTGCGGAGAGAGCTCTGTGCTGTCATGGTTTTTGCTGTGGTGGAGAGAGCAAGGACCATCGTGCTAAATGATGGTGAAGAGGTTGGTAAACGTTTCTCTGCTCACAGGGCCTCTCGGTACAACACTCAGATGGAAATCCAAGTCTTACTTTTTCCTTGAAAAAACATTAATAATAAAATCAATAATAATAATCCATCAAGAATTGTGAGATACATTTTGTCACAATACTCCAGGTCCTATTGTTCTATTTTGTATTACGTATCGCATTCCATATGGTACACTGATAGTGCTTTCAGAAGGTTTTTGTTTTGCAGTGCTGGGGCTATAACTCAGGGCGTTCAGTGCTGTGTGACCACAGTGTTCTTTTCCTCTTTGTTTCCACTCCTTCTGACCAGCTGGACTCCTGGTCTGTGATTATCAGTGGTTCTGTGGAAGTGACTTAGCCAAATGGAAAAGCAGAAATACTGTGCATGGGAAATAGTTTTGGAGTACAAAGAGTACAAGAAATGAAGGATGAGAATGAAGGTGGATGACTGCCAGATATGACACATCATTAACGGTACACATGGGACAGATTGGCCAGCTGGTGGGGTGCTCGGGGTGGAGCCAGGGCCCTGCAGGTGCTGAGCAAGAGTTGTGCTGGATGCTGGGCTATGAGCCTAGGCCGATGTTTCTCTAAATAAAGGAAATGCGTGTGCAGTTGTGGACTGAGGTTTCTGTATGTGTTAATTCGTCATCTTTTAGATTTGCAAATAACGTCTGAACATAGAACAATTACTTTTCGTCTTATGATATGTGAGGATACTAAAACTAAATGTCCATCTGAGTTTGCTGAAGTCAACAGCACTATGTGTTCTGTTTTTAAAAAAGCATTCTGTTTTAGGGTATTTTAAAATCTCTATCAATGGTCTGTTCATCAAAAATACGGATGCCAGACACACATTCTAGAAAGAATTATAAATAAATTAGTAAAGATGATGTGCAACTCTGCAATGTTATTTAAATACATACAAAAATAAATGGATTTTTGAAGAGATGTGGGCTGAATCAGTAATAAATAATTGCTGATGAAAAATACTAGTAAAATAATTGCTGATAAGAATACAATAACCAAAGAGAAGTAGTATCAGTATTGATACTGTATCAGTACTCACTATTTAAAAACCTTTAGTAATAGAGTAAAGGAAAATGCATGGCCAAATAGGAAATTAATTAATTTTTAAAGTTTTATTTTAAAGAGGGAAAAACAAACAAATACAAGAAAAGCAAGAAACAGGAGAGACAAACTACAATAACAAAAAACCCAAAACAGTAACAATATAGGCTTTCAAAACAAGGTGGAAGGAACTTAACAAAGATGTTTATTTTGCATAGTTATTTTCAAAAGAGCTGCTCAGATTACTAGATATGGACATGTAAAATTGATCTAATCCTGTGAGTGTTAACTGTATTGCTCCAGGAACTAATAGAATTAGTAGTACCATCATCTTAACTATCTTAAGTGTATATTTACAATTTTACATCTATTTTCTTTTCCCTGAGTTATTTTTCCCTTTTGAGCTGTTTCTTACCCTTTCACAATACTTATTGAAGATTTTGGATCTTATTTGCTCTTTCAGTTTCTTACAGTAGGGTATTAACACATGTGAATTTGATTTATTTCACTTCTGAATACGGTCTCAACTTGCATTCACTTACCTATAAAAGCCTCAGTGTGATCCTTCTTTATAGCTCAGTACTCTTATTGTATAAAAATACGACATCTTTTTTATCCATTCCTCAGTTGATGGGCATTTGGGTTGTTTCCAAGGTTTGACTATGACAAATTGTTCTGCTATAAACATGGGTGCACATACATGACTGGGTGTGTTTTCACTTCTTCTGGAATATGCCCAGAAGTGGAATAGCTGGGTCAAACAGGACTTCCAATCCCAGCTTTTTGAGGAAACCTCCAAACTGATTTCCACAGTGGTTGCACCAGTCTACACTCCCACCAACAGTGTGGGAGAGTTCCTTTTTCCCCACAGCCTCTCCAGCATTTGTTGTTGGTGGTTTTCTTGATCCTGGACATTCTTTCTGGGGTGAGATGGAATCTCAGTGTGGTTTTAATTTACATTTCTCTAATGACCAATGATGTTGAACATTTTTTCATATATTTATTTGCCTTTTGTATTTCTTTACCTGAGAACTGTGTATTCATCTCAGATGCTCGTTTTTGGATTGGGTCTTTGAATTTTGGGTGGGCTGTTTTTTTTTTAAAAAGTTCTTTATATTTTCTAGATAAAAGTTTAATTAACTAATTTATATCAGTTCTGAAGATGGAACTCTGGGTCTTGTGCGAGCTAGGCAAGTGCTGCTTCACTGGGCCATACTCCTAGTCCCAACTATGAAATTTAGATTAATGTATATATTATGAATAAGTTCAAAATTTTTGCTATTTGTAATTTACGTACTACCCTCTAAAAACTTTTGTCTTTAAAAGATAAATTGTTTTAAAAATTTGACATACACTAATTAATATTGTACTCATTGTTTATTAATGTAGTCTGAACATGCTCTGAATATAATTTATTGTAAAAGAAAGAGCTGAAGTTTTGTAGTGTCTGAGCTATGTAAAATGGCATCACTTACTGAAATTCTTTATGTCATGCATGTAAAGTTAATAAAATGAATATAACTAAGGCTATAAGAAAATAGTACTGACCCAAAGTACTTTTAAATTCAATATTTTAAATATATAATGCCAGAAAATCATACTATGTTGTCACCACTCAATTATTTAGAGTAATGGGACAAAATAGAATAATCTCTAAATCCCCGAATCTTTGTGTGGCATTTGGCATCTTTGTGTGGCATCTGTGTGGTCCAGAAAAATCCTTGAAGCAAACAGGCTCAGAGCGAGCCAAGAGATGAAGCTCTCTTCTTCCTCCTGTGCTCTGTCCCCTTCCAACCTTCTTCTTCATGCTGCAGCTACAGTGACATTTGAGACAGAGTCTCCCTGTGGCCAGGAAAGGGCTGCTTCATGGTTGGGAGTTCAGCATGTGTATTAATGCTCCTCAACGGGCCAGACTGCCTTGTTGGAAATTTTGTGACCGTGGGGCTGAATTGGTAGGAGACGCACAAGTATTTCAGAATGAGTAATAGAAGTATTATGTGACAAGGGTCACAGTGCCCCAGGCATGTGTGCTGTACCAGGTAAGGGTGGCCGTTTCCCTAAAGGCTCCGGAAGCGAGGAGGAAGGACAGAGGCCAGGGGTTAGGGAGGGTATAGTCTGTTGGTGGTGGGAAGCCTTGCTGCGAGATGGTGGTAGCAAGGTACACACACGCACACACACACACACACACACACACACACACACACACACACACACGGCAGAGCAGGGCTCTCATGGAGGTTAGTGGGTGCTGTGGCTCCTCCTGTGAAGTGGAAAGGGACTGGGTGAGCTATCTGCTAGAGAAGCCAGCTCTGCCTTCTGCCCCATGCCATCATCAGAGCGTGCTAATGCAGGGGTTGCTGGCACACACCCCTTAAAACCACAGCAGTGATGGCCACCCCATAGCTACCATGTGTGTTCGGGATGGCATCTTAGCGTCCTTCCTTAAATTCTCCTTACTCTGCAGGGAACACATGTCAGCCCCGCCTCTTGGTAGCAGGTGGGGCCATCGTACAGTGGCCACTGGTGTCCTGTCATTCTGCGGAATGTTGCATGCTATCGGTGGTCACCAGTTGGAATGAACAAAAGCAGTGAGAGCTTTTGCAAGAAAAAGAACTTTGCTTAGGGTTCGTCCCTGTGTCCTAATGTTCCAGCGGGTCCAAGATAAGTGTTCGCTGGTGAGAGGAGTGGCGCCCAGCTCAGCACAGCAGAGAGTGAGGTGGTGAGTGGAGAGCCACAATGATCTTGGAAGCCCAAGACTGCCTGGTCCCTCCTCTGTTCTGTGGTCCCTTGTCTCCAGCTGCTTCTTACCGAGAGTCAGAGCCTGGTGCAGACCCCTGCAGTACCACCAGACAGGCACCTCTACTCTTCCCTTCTCCTGTGCCCCTGTCTCCCTTCGTCCTCGCCGTCTCCCCCCTCTGCCTCACTCCTGGCCTGTGTGTGGGACTTGCTCCCACCCTTCAGTGATGTGGGCACAGCTCCGGTTTAGACAGATCCACCTCCTGCAGTCAGCCTGCACGAGACTCGTGGCTGCGGAGCTGCGGGGCCATTGGAGAGCGTGACACTGAAGGTGAGGAGTCTGGGTGAGAAAGCAGCCTGGCCAAATAGGCCAGTTATCTGTGCAGCATGTTGATCGACGTTTAATTTTGCTTCATTCTTATATCACTTGCAATTTTAAACTTCAAGATAAATTATGATGTCATATGCTGGGGTTTTTTTGTTTTTTTTTGTTTGTTTGTTTGCCATGCTGGGGTGTGAACCCAGGGCCCCGGCATTCCAAGCAGTGGTCTGCCACTGAGATAGCTTTCCAGCCTGCCTGTTGATTTTTTGTAAGTAAATCTGAACTTTGATTTCCCGTGAGGATGCTAAGATGACATGTAATTCCCATTTGTTCACATCTGCCCAAAAGTTTAAAACCTCTAAAACAATTCATAAGTTTTCAACTTTTATCACACAAGGTAGGTTTTATTCATGAGTTTCATTTAAATAAAAATAAGTTCCTAATAAGAAGATAAACAATTCCAAGTAAAAACTTCTTTCTTTTTAAATACCTTGACTTTGAGGTCCTCCTGATTTCTCATAACATTTTAGTATGATCCTGAAAAAATGCCAAAATATGTAGACACTTAAGAATTTCAAATCAAATTTATCCTATCTCATGTCAGTCTTTTGTCAAGAAGAGTAATTCACTGGACACTCTGTTGGAAAAAGCATTTTCTTTCTCAAATTTATTTATTTAACACAGGACTGTATTTCTTTGTTAGACAATAAATGAGAAAATTTAAATTATGTTATCTAAAACTTGACTGTAAAAAAAAAAAACCTAAAATTACTTGGAAATAAAACTTTTCTAAATCTCATATTCAAATTTGGGGAACAATCTTGGATGGTCCGTGTTACAGAAACGGGATTTTAGAAATGTCTTTATCTTACTGGTGCACTTTAGATGCACATAATGGTAGCATTCACCAGGAAGGAGCGTGCCCTGTACCTGATGAGTCAGGCCGCTGCTTCTTCCCATTCCCCTTCCGCCCTCCAACCTCTCTTCCCTTCTTTATGTATAAAACCTTTCCATTTTTCCCTTCTATCCTTTTTCCCGTCCCTTCTTTGCTTTCTCCCTCCCCTCTCGGTTGTTCCCCTTCTCATCTGAGCATTTTCTCTGTTCCCCAATATTGAAGAAATTGATGTTTTTGGAAGTCGATGTAACTACTGCCATTTACTGCGCGCAGAAACGCTGTATCTGTGTGGCTTCCCCGTGCTGCAGGTGAGCGCGCGCAGTCGCGGAGGGGCCTTTTCCCCACGAAGCTGGCGCGGTGCGCGGTGTGAAAGTAGCCTGTGTGTGATTGCGAGGGCGGGGAGAGGGCAGTGTGGGCGGCGCTGGGTGGCTCAGGCCACCCGGGTGGTGATAGTGTGGGGCACCCCCGGCATTTATGGGATGTCTTGCTAGAGCAGCTTGAGGACACCAGAGCCTGGAAAGTGGAGCTCTGACCACCAGCTTAGTTTTCATTAGCGCAAAGTTACAAGCACTTGCCTGGTGAGCACCAGGTCAAGAGTTTGATTCCTGGTATCATTAAAAAAGAATAAAAAAAAAAAACCCAAAACAAAAAGAAACCCATCTACTGTTCATTCGCAGACCATTTCATAAATGGTCTGGTTTTTATTTGCTCAGGTGTCTGCTTTGACCACTTCACTGAACTCTAGTTGTGTTGTGTAGTGAGCGATGTTTGCATTTTCCCTGTGCGGCGCTGTTTTAAAGTGCACGCTGTGCTTTACCGGGTAGGGGTAGGGCCTATGCTGTGCAGCGGACTCCCTTGCAGCCAGGCCAGACAGCTCTTTGGGTTTAGGACGCTGAAACAATGGGGTACAGAGGGGACTGCTGCGGGCCCTCACATGACTGCAGGCCCAGCCCCTGCGCCAGGTTCTGGGTGCCATCCGATCCTGGACCCCGGCCTGCAGGGGCGCTTTTCCTAAGGCAGCAGCGGTAGTGGCCTGTTGGGCTCTGACAGACCAGACCAGTGCTGGTCAGTTCAGGCCCTTTCTGTGTGACCTCCCTGCCTTCGTATGGGGGTTGGTACCCAGGGCTTCTCACTGAGCTACATTCCCAGGCCCTTTTATTTTTTGAGACGGGTTGCAATCCTCCTGCCTCAGGCTCCTTCAGGGCCGAGATGAGTGGCGCATGCCTCACCGGTCCAGTGTCCGTTTTAGAATCCTAAAGCCGCGAGTCCCGACAGTTTATTAGCGCTCACAGAACCATGCGGAGAGGGCGACGATGTTCTGTCCAGGACGCCAGAGCGCCCACCACGCTGACTTTTAACTTGTTTAGAACCATTAGGAAAGGGACATCCCGGAGCCTGGAAGCGTTCTAGGTGTGGCACAGAGGTCCCCCCCACCCCCCTGCAGTGCTGGGTCACTGTTCTCAGTGGAAGGGACTGGCCATTCTGCGGCTGCCTGCGACTTCTCATCCCTATGACCAGCAGTGTATACAGTGTCTCTGAATTTGTGGCTTTCATGAAAACCATTATTTTTAAATGGTTACTTTTAGAAAATCTTCAGAAGAAATCCAAAAGATAATTCTTTTTGTCTGTTGGCCCAGAAAACCCCACTGGGAAAGAAGTTTGAGGAAAGACCTTGTACCTTGCCTTTTGGTTTTTTAGTTGGTGGCACTTTGAATGTAATATACATATTCTAAAAACTAAACTTTTCTTGAGTAATGAAGAAAATGTATGATGAGTAGGGAAGCCTGATTAAGGTTCATTACTGCATTAATTTAGAAACTATGGGACAGACAGGGGGAAATGCCAGTTTTAATCATTTAAACACTGAATTATTAGCATGACAGGTGTTTTGCAAGCACTTCATCTTCGCTTGTGCCTTTGGTTTTCTCCCAGTTTGTCTGCATCGTGCAGCAAGATTATTGCCGTATCCTCAACCAAGTGGAGAAGAACATGCAGAAAGTCGAAGAGGAGGGAGAGATCGTCATGGTAAAAGAGCACCGAGAGCTTGACCGGACCGGAACCAGGAAGGGCCACATTGTCATCAAGGTGAGGCGGGAGCACATCCTTGAGAGGTGATGCTTCTGGCAGGTGATGAGTAGTACTGAGAAGATCTCTGCCCTTCTGGATGAGTCCCAGCTTATGAATGGGTGCTGCTGCCCGGCTTGCACTACATTGAAGGCTTGACGTGCAGGACCATGTCAGTGTCCATTCCAGCTGGTGCCCAAGCCTCTTTCTTGTCTCAGGGCACCTCCGAGAGGCTGATGATGCATCTGGTGGAGGAGCACTCGGTGGTGGATCCAACCTTCATAGAGGACTTCCTGCTGACCTACCGGACATTCCTGTCTAGCCCAATGGAAGTGGGCAAGAAGTTGCTGGAGTGGTTTAACGACCCGACCCTCAGGGATAAGGTTGGAAATGCGTTCTTTCTGGCTCTTCCATGGGGAATACTGTAATGTGAGCTTGCAGATTTGGCAATTTAATAGAATATCAGAAAACTTCATCAAAACAATGGAGATTAACATTTCTTGTTATACATGTTTAGGTCCAAATTTGAAAATAGATTGTTTCTCTTTAAATGCGAACACGAATAAGTCGGTCACTAAACGTTTAAACTTACTCATACTGGAAATGTGTTAGACGGTAACCTAGCCTAACATCTCAACCCATGAACCCTGCTGTTCTGGGAGAGAGTTCACACAGTCACCTTGCTTCGGTGGACCTGGGAAGTGCTGTCCGTTACGGCCGTCCCTGTCCACGCAGGGACGTTCCACACAGATTCCCCATTGGCGTGGGGCTCGGCCGAGCTAGCCTCGGGGAGCCAGCCACACAGGGCTGTCTTAACGCCTTCCTTCCTCTCGGATCTTTCTAGGCTAACACTGCTCACCTCCTTACCTACTTTGTCCTCTCCCCTGAGCTTTTAGTTTCTCTCTTCTGTTGTTTTAAGCTAATTTGGTTTTGTTGTACTTTTGCTTTCATTCTGACTTCTTTTGAGCATGCTTTGAAAGTAAGGCAAGATGGCACTTGCCTGGCAAGTGCAAGTCATGAGTTCAATCCCTGGTACCAAAAAGCAAAAGCAAAGCAAGATGTTTAGTTAAATCCTCCACAGGCCTAGCCCAATGAAGCTGCATTTCTAGTACATGTATTTTCAGACAGTCATTTTTTATGAGTAGTATGTCTGTTGAAATTTGTAGTTTGTGCAGTATAAAGTAAATTGTTTGAAATTTAAGTACCTTTCGTGATGTGATTTCAGTCTTGGCACTAAAACAAGGTGACTTACCAGAACTGTCTTTCAGGTGACATGGGTAGTCCTGCTGTGGGTGAACAATCACTTCAGTGACTTTGAAGGAGACCCTGAAATGACTCGATTTCTAGAAGTGTTTGAAAATAACATGGAAAGAGAGGTAATACTGGATTTTTTTTTTAAAGTACCAGCTCTGGGTTTCTTTCAAGCTCCTGTCTCTGAATTGATAGCACCTTTCTGGGCTCTTGCAGAAAATGGGCGGCCACCTCAAGCTGTTGAACCTGGCCTGTGCTGCGAAAGCCAAAGGAAGGCTGATGACGCTGACCAAGCCGTGCCGAGAGGCCCCGCTGCCCTTCCTCTTGCTCGGTGGCTCTGAGAAGGGCTTTGGGATCTTCGTGGACAGCGTGGACCCCGGCAGCAAAGCAGCCGAGGCCGGCTTGAAGCGTGGCGATCAGGTGCGTGGCTCCTGACCCCGAGTGAGGGTGAATTTTAGTATCATTTTTTTCCTCCAGAGTAATGACACTGATGTTAATTTTAAATTTCACTTTTAGATATTAGAAGTAAATGGTCAAAACTTTGAAAATATCCAGCTGTCAAAAGCCATGGAAATTCTTAGAAATAATACACATCTGTCTATCACTGTGAAAACAAATTTATTTGGTAAGTATTTTTCGCATACTTTGAATTTTCTCTTTTTCTGAGGTGGAGGGTGTTTTTACATATAGATCTTAGTTGTGAAAGTAGTAATTTCTATAATTGAAAACATAATCAGGATAAAAATCTAATAAAATATAAATACAGGCTTTATTACATAATTAATTAGATCTAAATTGAAGTCCTTTTTGAAGACCATAAAGTTATTTTTATTTCTTTGTTTATTAATAAGTGAGATCTGTATTCTCTTGGGAAACACCGATACACCTGTAAGGAGTGCATCACTTTCTTAATCACTGCTAAAGCAGCAAACAAGGCAGGTCCTTGGCGTCAGTTTTGGGAACTGGAGTCCGAACTTCTCACGTATTCCCAGGTTCTGTGGTTGCCAAGGGGTGTTCAGGTTTCTTGCAAGTGGTGTTTTGTGATGCTTCTGTGTCTGTTTCAGTATTTAAAGAACTTCTACCAAGATTGTCAGAAGAGAAGAGAAATGGTGCCGCACACCTCACTAAAATCAGAGACATCAAGAAGGCCAGCTGCTGCTCCATCCTGGACCTGGCCGTGGACGTGGAGCAGGTGATCGGCCTGGAGAAGGTGAACAAGAAGAGCCAAGCCAACACGGTGGGAAGGAGGAGCAAGCTAAAGAAGATCCTCAACAAGACCCAGATCAGCGTCTTACCTCAGAGACCATACAAGTAAGTCTGCTGTGACTGGCTGCATGGGATGTGTACAGTGATGGGCAGAGGCAGTGGCATCATTGGTGTCTACTCTGTCCACGAGTGTCCCAGGCTTTCCTGGACAGACTCTTGTGGAGGCAGCCTTGTACAGCTGGCTTCATTTACTCACATTTGCCCTTCCCTGTCCAGTCCTCCTGGGTCCTCATCAGAGCTGCTCATCCTCCTTGGAGGTTGGGCCCCCTGTCCTCATTCCTGGGTCCTGGCCCGCCAAGGCATGAGGAGCTGAGCACAGGCTTCCTTGGGTCCCTGGACTGTTCTTTGGCCCACTGCATCCAAAGTTTTGTCTGGGAGCGGTGAGCAGCCCCAGAAGTGACAGGATGGACGAGCGGGGTCAGTAGAAGTGTGGGAGGAAAGGGACAGTGGGCACCACAGGCGTAGCTCCTGTGTCAAGGAGCGAGTCTGGGAAGGTTCAGAGACGGGACCGTGTTGGTGCCGGGAGCTCTGGCGGCCACACAGAGCCACACTGATGCGGTTTTTGTTTCATGTCAACTTTGTTCCTTTGCCTGTTTATTTCTTCATATCAGTTCTTGAGTCCAGGAATATTGTACAAAACTCAAGCACCATCAGTCTGAATGTGAATTAGATCTAAATTGAAGTCCTTTTTGAAGACCATAAAGTTATTTTCTGAATGTGAAGTAACTCAGAATGCCATGTTCAGTCGTAGTGTAGTTGTCACAGTACAGTGCTAGGGAGGGTAGCACATTGAAAAACATGGATTAATTTATTTCTTGGATAGTTTAATGTGTCTAACAAGGACCTATAACAAGGAACTATACAGACACTTAGGATTACGTTAAGCATCTTTCTTATTGCTTTGAAAATTTCATTTTAGATAAAATTTTCATCCACAGATTAGAGAGATTTGAAGCTTACTATCCATGAACTGAGTGTCAAACTCCTGTGGCAGCCATTGAACCGGTGGTTCAGTGAAAATGTCTGTTTTAGGATAAGCATGAAAGTGATGACTTTATTGACACTTGTGGAAATGCTCATAGTAAGTTGACAGGAGTCAGTGGATTGGAACAGCTGGCATTTATAGGAAACAGGAATCAATTTTTCACGTGACTCTGGATGAAAAACTTACATTTAAGTGAATGACAAAGTAAAGTGCATTAATGCAGAATTACTAGCAACATAACAACAGCAGCAAAAGATCTGAGAGCTGTGTTTGACCATGACTTAAATACGATCCTTGGAATAGATGAGGTAGACATCAGTGTGACCCTGGGAAGCCTCCGTGTGATGCCCAGGTTGGGGTGCTGATTCTCCAGGCGTGGTGTTGGCCCAACCGGGAGCTCTACATGGGGGTGCTGTGTCTAATTTTGTTCTGTCTTTTTGGAAAGATACTCAAAATCTTCACAAGAGAAAAAAGGGAATTAGCTTGATTTTAAAATACTGATATTTTCTTACAAAAATTATTTGAAAAAGTGTATGAAGTAATAGAAATGGAAAAAGTAATTCAAGGTATAGAGGACCTATTTGCATCTATTGTACCTATTCACCTAATAAACTGATTTAAAGCAAATCAGTGAACTTTTCTAGAAATTAGTATGTGTTCATGGAGGTCTTCTTGGCTGTTTTCTTTTTTACTGTGCTAGGGATGAAATCCTGGATCTGGTGCATTCTAAGCAAGTATCGTCCTTCTGAGCCACACCTCTAGCTTGCAAAGATTTTGTTTTTTTAACAAAGCTACTAAACTATACATTTCAGATACTTTCAAGTTTTGTTCTACTGTTAAGGTTTTTTCCCTTAAACTCTTAGAGACACTAAGATGCTGGATAGCTGTGGTAGAGTGATATGCACAGGGTGAAGGAAAGGGTAGGACAGAAGCCTTACGCAAGTTTGGTTGCTGGTAGGAGGAGAAAGCCTGGTGTGCCCAGGGGAAGGCAGAAGTCAGTCAGCAAAGGCGGAGCAGCATCGGGAGACTTGGCAAGGTCCAGCCGTGATTGGCTGTGCTCACTCAGGGTGGTTCTGATTTATGTCTTGGTGCAAGGTCATGTCAGTCCAGGAATCAGGACAGCGTGACAGAGTTCAGTCAGATCATCACCTGAGGAGCCTTGGAGTGTCGCCGAGCAACCCCTGGAATGCAGTGTGCTTGGCTTCTTGGCCATTGGGGCAGGAGTGGCCCAGCCCGTAGTGATCGCTTGCTGTGGATCACATGCCGTGGACTCTGTGTGGTATTGGCAGACACAGGATTGTAAAACATGATTATAAAACAAAATTCTGCTTGAAAATTCTACCTTTTTATCTTCAGCAAAATGATCATACTTTTCGTTTTTCAGTACTTACCTGTGTGAATTTTAATAGAAATGTAACATTTTTCTGAGCCCACCTTACTCTCACATGATCTTATTTTTTTTGTCTTTTTTTTTACATTTTATTTAAGGAGAAAAAACAAAACAAACAAAACAAAAGCAGAAAAAGGGTACAAGTTATACAGACTTTCAGAAAAAATAACAGTAGGAAATCAATAGTTACATATTGTCATCTTAGAAATAGTTGTTGAAGTTACAAAATTAAAGCATATAGAGGGGACTTTCAACAGTGAGACTGCAAACAGTTTTGTTCAATGATCCAACAAAACTCAGTAATATGGTTATCTATCTTATACACTTAAATATATATCTTTTAGAGCACTTTCTTTTCCTTTCTTTTGTACAATGACAATTAGGCATTTTGGGTTTTATTACTCCCACAGTTCTTATTACTTTTTTTTTTTTTTTGAAGAAAGTAAAACCAAATGTGACATACCAGGACAGAGTCAGTCAAATCAAAAGGATGGACATAATACATAATATAAAAACAAAATACAAGGTGATCAACAATGGTTACCATACTGCCTCTTGCTATCTTAAGAATAATTGCCTAAATCATCAGGTATAATAAAATTGAACAAAAGAGTAAAGAATAAGACAATAAAACCAAAACATTGGAGACATTAGAGGGCTTCAAAAGAAGATAATAGTCAACCAGAATGGGCATCACAATGAATCTTATTGTCTTCATAGTTGTTGCCTATACTTTCAAACTTTGTACTATCAAGCATAACAGAATAGAGGAAAATCAGTCAAAACAAGATGGTGAGAGCAATACAGAGTTTCAAATCAAGTTAATAGGAAATCAACGTGGGTTACTATAATATATCCTGCTATTTTTTATTTATTTTTCCCTTAATTAAAAGGATAAAAATGAAAAAGTAGATAATAAAAAGGAGATTGAGATAAAAAAGAGGGCATAACAACAAAACAGCGCAGGTCAAAACATAGCCATTTAAGCAAAGTAGTGTTTCACCATAAGATAATCTCCGCATAATAGTAGTTACCATAGTGTCTCTTCCCTTAAAATCTTTGGGTATAACTTCGTATAATGTAGCATCAAACGTATCAAGACAATGTAAAACTGTTCAAGAAGATGACAGTATTACAGGGTATTTAGAATCAACTAACCGAAAATGAACAACGATTTCTATATCATCTCCTTGTCTATAAAAGTTTTTGTTTATATTGTCACATAAAATAAAATCCAATAAGATACAACATGTTAAAATCGATGAAGACAGAAGAACAAAAGCTTGATGGGACTTCAAAACAAGAGGATATTAAATCAGCACTACCTATTATGATGTCTTGTTTTCTCCAAAATGGCTGTTCCTACCATCCAGTCTTCTCTGCCTCATTTCTGTTGAGCTCTTTTTCTGTCATTAGTTGTCAGTTTGTCCTCTTCATTTCGCTTTCTGTTCCATTCATTGTGGCCGCTCTGCCACTGTTTCTGGAATCTTGGTATTTTTCATTTTTAGAATATCCTGCAGTAATCTCTGTAGTGTTTAATTGATGATTGCAAATTCCCCTAGTTCCTCTTTATCCTGGAAGCACCTTGTTTTTCCATCAGCTTCTAGGGACAGTTGTGCAAGATATATCAGTCTTGGCTGGAGGTTATTATCTTTCAAAGCTTGAATTATTTCCCCCCACGCTCTTCATGATTTGATGGTTTGTGCAGAGAAGTCTGCTGTAATTCTGATGGGTGTTCCCTTGTAAGTGATCTGTTTCTTGCTTTTATGACTTTTAATATTCTGTTCTTATATTGGATTTCTGGAATTTTGATTATTATATGCCTGGGTGTAGCTCTGTTTGGGTTGTAGGTGGCTGGGGTCCTGTATGCCTCATACATCTGAGTATCTTTACCTTTTGCTAAATTAGGGGAATTCTCCTGGATTATTTCTGTGAATAGCTTTTGTAGTTCATTTGTTTGAGTCCCTACTTCTTCTTTTATGTTCTTAATTCTTAAGTTATATATCCTCTTATCATCTTCTAGTCTTTGTATTATTGCTGTTTATTTTCTTGTTATTTTTAAGAAGTTTTTTATTTCATGCTCCCACCTTACAAATCTGTCCGCCAGTTCTGATAATCTATCCTTAGTTTCTTTCAAACTGTTATGCCAGCTTTCAATAGAGTTTTTAGTTTCCTGGTAATCTCTTTGAACCTGCTTCACATATTCTATGTTTTCTCTATCAAACAATTCTCCCCTTTTTTTCTGTTCTTCACATGATCTTATTTACTGGCTTAGTTACGTAGTAGTCTTAGTGTGATGTTACCAATTTTATTTCTAAGAAGTTACAGAAACTAGTTAAAAGTACAACCATTTGTTATAACCTAGTTATTTTCAGGTACAGTATTTTACTTGATGTTTTGTTGTGGAAATACTTGACCCTTTAATTTAGAAATAATTTTATATATCATTAAATCATATTTCAAGCGTTACCTACAGCAGCACTTTTTATAAATGGAAATACATTTGTAGCCATTTAGTTCTCAATATTTTTCTGGGAACTAAAATGTATAACTAGAAATTTTGAACAGAGAATTAAAAATGAGTCACTGCATTTCCATTGGATTCCTTTCCTTTGGTACTAGGAAATGTCACCTTGTGTCTTGGGTCTTTTATGTCCTCTGATTAAGAAATAATGTCCATGTCAGGGCTTCTTTACATTTAACTCCATAGTGATCTCATTTCCCCCAAACTTTGGTAAGTGAAATTAAGCAGTTTGGATTTCCCCCCTTCTTCTTATTTTCCTCAACTTCAGTTTTTAAGGTTCAGCCTGTCAGCCAGTAAAAGCACTGGATAAGTGAGGCTGACTATATTCTTCATAATGTGTTTTTTCCCTTAAATCCATTGCCATCAGAAACTGAAGGTCATATTTCTTTGAAAGTATTTTTATACTGAGAAATTACTTAAAATGCTTGCAGCTTATCTAGTGAAAAAGACAGGCATTAGAGAAGCATAGGGTACACTCAGGAAACAGCAGAGCGAACTAGATACACTACGATAGTTATTACTGACATTTTTACATTCATCCAGAGCTTGATGAACCTGACTTGTAACACTGTAACGTGCCAACCATGCTGTCCTCTGCCTTTTCTCCCAGCAGGGATATTGGGATCTGTCAGCCCCAGGACCACAGCACTGTGGGGCTGCAGCAGACAAACCACATCCCAGCCTCTCTACCTGTCAGCGAGACCTTGTCCTCCAGCAAACCCGACCTGCTGCAGTCACATCATAGCATCCTGGACTTCTGTGCCACTCCTGGTGAGCGCACAGTGCTTCCTGCTGTCTGTAACATATCGGTGATGCCCCATGATTAGACAAGCGTGTGGTCATCCTGTGCTTGGGCCATTTATATCTGTCCGCAGGTTGTTATAGCATTCTGTGAGGCAGAGGGGTAGTCTGCAGTACAGTATGGGGTTGAATCTGCACAGATCTTGAGCATGGGGAAGGGGGGCAGCCACCCTCCCCTTCTTAGGGAGCATCTCCTCCTCAGATCACGTCACCTCATTGCAGTGTGTCTCCTGCTCTGCACACACTTCTGCACTGGTTTATCTTTCCTCCAGACTTTCCAGATCAAGTGCTGAGGGTTTTTAAGGCTGATCAGCAGAGCCGATATATCATGATCAGTAAGGACACCACGGCGAAGGAAGTGGTCATCCAGGCCATCAGGGAGTTTGCCATCACTGCCACCCCGGATCAGTACTCGCTGTGTGAGGTCTCCGTCACCCTGGAGGGTGTCATCAAACAAAGGTGCCTTCCAGACCAGCTCTGCAAACTTGCTGACAGAATACAGCTGAGTGGAAGGTACACACTGTCTACCTGCAGCACTTTGGAGGGGTTTAAATGACTGAGAGCCCCTGGAGATTATAATTTAGGACACACACACACGCACACGCACACACTGTGGTTCCCGGGTCAATGTGCACATAGACTGCCTACCTCTTACCAGTGTGACCTGAGGGCTGCTGTTGATGGCCAGCACACAGGCACTGGCTTCCTAGCTTTGCCCATCGAGTTCCTGGCTGACAGCATGTGAACTGAGCTGGTGTGGAGTGCCAAGGAAGCCTTGGGTGTGTGTGTGTGTGTGTGTGTGTGTGTGTGTGTGTGTGTGCACGCACATGCTTGCGCGCCCACGTGCTCACTTGTTCAGACCTCAGGAGCTGCACAAGGCCAGGGCAGGCAGAGATGTAGGGAGGACTGTGTGACTCGCAGGGTAGGGGGCGCTGTGGGATGGGCTGCCTGACCCAGGAACCCAGCTGGAGCAGCTGCCTAGCTGGCCCTGGGAGGCAGGCTCCTGAGCACTTTTGTGTCACTGTGCTGATCCTGTCATCACATAGTGACCTCCTATTGACAGGGATTTGCCAATAATCCACAAATAATTGCAAGATGAAAAAACTTTAAAGTGTTGGCTAACAGGTAATGACTAGATTTTGCGCTAAATGCAAATTAATTAGTTGTATAAATAACTTTCTAAGAATTGTCTCATTTTACAGAGTGGTCCACTGCACATGATTTTTCCATGAAATCGATCTAAATGGTGATTTAATTCATTCAGGCCGTGTTTGCTTGCTGTCAGCTGTAACTGTGGGGCTCACTCCTGTATTTGCAAGCCTAGCACTAGCAGGCAGTTACATTTTGAGAAGTTAGCTTCGCTTGGTTCTCATTTGAACTCCGTAATCGTGATGCTTTTCTGAGATTCGTGGTCACATTCACCATGCAGGAAAAGGATGGGTGAGCCCTTGTCCTGGACCCTGCGAGTGATCAGAGTGGGCAGTACGCTGGCCGGCAGTGCTGAGGGCAGAGCCATGCGGGTTGTGTCTTAGAAGTTTTGGAGCATGTGAAAAAGCACTGTGCAGTGGGGCCTCTGTGTGCACCTTCAGTCTTCTCACAAGGGCTGTTCACTCAGAGAGAAAGAGGCTGCTTTCTCTAAAGAGAGAAGGCAAGAAAATAAATCCAAGAGCAAACATTCGAGTATAGTTTTTAACAGGTTGCTTTAAAAAAAAAACAATAGATGGCCCAGCACTGAGCTCTGGGCTGCTCTAGGGTCCTGTTCTCTACCTGACACATAGGGGTTGTTCTTGCCCCACTGTCCTGGGCACGTCTTATGAAGTTCCATGTATTTAAGCATTAAAATGTTTCAGGAGCTAGGGATTTAGCTCAGCGGTGTAAGCACCTTCCTGGCAAGGGTGAGGTCATGAGTTTGATCTCTGGCACCAAATAGCTAAAATCTGTTTCAGGATTGTTTCATGTGCAGGACCCAACCGAAGGGAAACCGTTGTGGGTTACTGGCTGTTTGAGTCTGAAACATCCTGGTTTGGATGGAGCACTGTTCTTCCCCTCACTGATGGCTCTGTGTGGCCTTCTGCGTCCTTCCTTGAGGCTATGTGCTTCATTAAACTAGCTTTTGTCATCTTTAACAGACAGGGTAAAATAATTTGAAAAGGAGAATAGTTATAAATGGTACAAAAATCTATGAACTTTGCTCACCTCACCCCACCCCCAAATTCTCTGTGGGTTCCTTGGGATCTGGTCAGCAGGGTAGCACCCCCTGGCCTGGTGGAAAAGAATTGTGCTGCTATTCAATCTCAGCCTCTCTGAATCTTGCTTAAGGGTGGGGGTGTTGCGGTGCTGTGGCATGGGCTTTCTCCCAGACGCCTGTTTCTTCAAAAACAGGTACTACTTGAAAAACAACATGGAGACAAAGATGCTGTGCTCAGACAAGGACGCGCAGGAGCTGCTACGCAAGAGCCAGATTTCCCTGCTGCAGCTCAGCCCCACTGAAGTCTCCAAGCAGCTCTCCATGCGCAACTTCGAGCTCTTCCGGAACATCGAGCCCACCGAGTACATCGATGACCTGTTCAAGCTGAGGTCCAAAACCAGCTGTGCCAACCTAAAGATGTTCGAGGAGGTCATCAACCAGGAGACCTTCTGGGTGGCCTCAGAGATTCTCAGGGAGACAAACCAACTGAAGAGGATGAAGATCATTAAGCATTTCATCAAGATAGCGCTGCACTGCAGGGAGTGCAAGAACTTCAACTCCATGTTCACCATCATCAGGTGAGCACGGCGGTTGGTTACCAGCTCTCGCAGGTCCTGCTTCCGCTGGAAAGGTGTCCCCTCCATGGTCACTCCATCCCGGAAGGGCCCAGCAGCCTGCAGCTGCTAGCCGACCACCCTAGGCCCTCACACCTGCAGGGCTGTCACTGACTCAAAGCCAAAGTGCTTCTCTCCTGTGGCTAATGCTTAATTTACTGACTCCAGGAGCTGGTTGGGAGAGTGGTGAATCTGTATCCAGCACTTCTGCTTTTGTAAACTCTGGGAAAACCATTTGAACTCCTCTGGATAACAGTTTATTTCGTATAAAATAACAACACCGCAAAGAGTTATCAAGAATATTAAATGACATAATGCATGTGAATTTCCATCAGGCAGCACAAGGCAGATGCCCAGGGAATGTAAACTGTGCTCCCTGATCAGTGCTTGGACTGAGCCCGGGAGAAAGTGCACATGGGAGCCCTGAGTCAGGTTGATGTTGAGGAAATTATTAGTCCCTTTCTCTCCCCAGAGTTTGTGATACTCTAATGACTGCTGTGACTTCTGTTTAGTTTTAATGCTCTGGAATGTTTGCCCTGTCATTTTGTCAGTTGCCTGTATGGCTAAATACCACTCTGTCTGTGCAGAAAGAACAGTACTTACACAGTGTTCTTGCTGACTGTGTCATCTTTCTGCTGTGGTTGCAACACCTGTGCCCCTCAGCTTGGAGAGTGATTCTGCAGGTGTCCCTGTGTCCTCAGTTGGGCCATGGCAAGGCACTGTTGTGCAGTCCTGTGTGGAGCAGGGCTGTTCCCCTCAAGGCTGGGATGCAGACAGGGCGAGGCGGGTCCCACCCCCTACCTGGAACCCAACTCCTGCTCTCCAGGCCTTGCCTCTTGCAGGCTCCTTCCCAACCTCAGGTGGCTCTGCAGGCTGGGCCTTGAAGGAAATCTGAGCTCAAGGAAACAGAGAGACCAGTGGGCCACGACCACGCCTGAACCTGCTTCTGTCTGCCTTGGCCTCACTTGAGTCATCAGGACCTTCCTCCGGCACCCGCTGCAGATGGCTGTGTGTAGCCATGTTTGTGTGGTTCTGTTACCCATCGACGGACAGGACCATGCAGTTCCTCAGGAGGCCTCGTCTAACTGATCCACTTTCCTTTTCCCATCAGTGGCCTGAACCTGGCACCAGTGGCAAGACTTCGGACCACCTGGGAAAAACTTCCCAATAAATATGAAAAGCTGTTTCAGGATCTCCAAGACCTGTTTGATCCTTCCAGAAACATGGCCAAGTACCGCAATGTCCTCAACAGTCAGAACCTGCAGCCCCCCATCATCCCCCTGTTCCCAATCATCAAGAAGGATCTCACCTTCCTGCACGAAGGTAGATTGGCACTGGTTTCTACCTGCGTGTCCAGCAGAAGCAGACACCAGGTGCCATGTGATTTCCTTTTTCTCCTGTGCCAAATTGCAGGAAATGACTCAAAAGTAGATGGACTGGTCAACTTTGAGAAGCTCAGGATGATTGCCAAGGAAATTCGTCACGTGGGCCGCATGGCCTCAGTAAACATGGACCCGGCCCTCATGTTCAGGACTCGGTGAGTGGGTCAGCCGAGGCACGTGTGGGACTGGAGGGGTCACCTTGAAAGCTTCCCCCTCAGTGAGAAAGGTTTCCGTGTGTATACTCCTTGCTCAGGGGCAGAAATTACCTTGGGTCCAGTGTCGCCATTGAGCCTTCTATGGCATTAGGTGCACTGACTCCAGTGAGAGAAGCGTGGCCTCCGTGTCATGTCAGGCACAAGCATTTCTCGCTGTTCCTGAGGATACTGGCTTGTAGAGCCGTGACTCCTCAGGGGTGGTGTACACTCAGATTTGTAATGGCCCCAGGTGGCACTGCCTCAGTCTCTGCCCAATCCAGTCGGCGGAGAGACAGACCTCACATGTCTTTCTCTAGGACAAGAACTTGACACTTGTCTTTTGAGCCAGAACTAGTGCTTGTAGGAAGGCGGTGGTGGGTTGAAGGTTTGTGGGCTGCTGGGATGGCTTCCCCGAAGTGCAGGCCTCTCTCTCTGAGCTGTGATCTCTCTGTCTCTCTCTGCACTCACGCTTCCATCTCCTCGGCTCTCACTTGCAGGAAGAAGAAGTGGCGCAGTCTGGGGTAAGTGGTGGGGCGCGCAGCTGCCGCCTCCTTCCTCCCTGTGCCTCTCCTGCGTGCGCTCTGTACCTTGCCTCGATGCTCTGGCGGTTTCCAGCTCAGACTGACTGCAGCTGTCCTCTGTGCGCTCCTGAAGTCGCGCCCCCCAGAGCTGTGAAAATATTGAGGATTCTTCTGGGGAACTGTAGGCCAGGCACATTTCTGAGCTCCCAGGAAGATTCTATTTTTGAATAATTCATGTGTCTTGAAAATGAGAAAAGCCTAGGATGGGGATAGTGGAGGATGTTAGGAAAAACTTTGTGGTTAAATATTACTGTGCAGCTATTTACCAGTAAATATGCATAATTAAAAAAAGGTGTCTCCAGCGGTGAAAACCAATTTTTTTTTACAGCTCAACTAACTACTATTTTCATTCTATATAAACTAATCCTTATTCAAAATAATTCTTAATGATCCATGTGCTAAGTAGTTTCCATATACAGATGTTTATTTTGCATAACTATAGTATTAACAGATTGACAATTTTACTTAAAACCTTACCTCATTCTACTCAAGGAATAAGGAACTAATTGTGAACCTTGTAGCTAATTTACTTAAATCTATGCAAAGCATCTTCTCATAGAGAAGTAACTTTAACATGATAAATCAGAATGAGTGGAGCCGTGTCTTCCTGCATGAGCTTTTCTGGGATTGTCATTTGCTGCCTCTGTGAGAGGACCTGAATGCTATAGATGCACAGCCAGTTCCGGCTGGAGTAGACTGGGTGCCAGTGGTCTGTTTACTGTGTGTTACCTGTATCTCTCTTTACCCGCAATTCCCGGTGACAAGTGCTGTTGGAATGAAGCAGGTGACTCCCAGGGTAGACACTGTTGGTCTCAGCAGTGCCGCACAGGTGTCATAGCCCGTGCCGGAGTGAGTGGCCTCTCTTCTCCCTGTCCACCTCGAAGGTCCCTCAGCCAGGGCAGCACAAATGCAGTGGTGCTGGATGTTGCCCAGACAGGCGGGCACAAGAAGCGGGTGTGCCGCAGTTCCTTCCTCAATGCCAAGAAGCTCTACAAGGACACCCAGATGGCTCGCAAAGTGAAGCAGTACCTGTCCAACCTGGAGCTCGAGATGGACGAGAAGAGCCTGCAGATGCTGTCGCTGCAGTGTGAGCCAGCGACCAGCACTCGTGAGTCCCCACCCCTCCCCAGGTGGCTCTGGGCCTCCTGCAGGCAGCAGCTCAGGGGCAGAGGAGCAGAGCAGGAGCTGCTCCGGTTGAGCCTCTCCCAGGTGCGGGGCCCGTGCAGGAGGACACTGTGGGCTCCTCGGGCTGCCTTCAGTCTCACCACAGCCTACCCAGTGTCCAGTGCAATCTGGTCAGACTGTGTACCTCTGGGCAGGTGCCTGCCGTGGGGAGGCTGAGACAGGACTGCCTGAGTGCAGGTGTTCAGCGCACGTGTGCACAGTGAGCCCTGGTGTTAGCAGTGAGAATCGGGCTGGCCTGGAGAGGTGCAGTGTCTGCCTGCCTCTGTCCCCAGTGCTGCAAATGAAACCGAAAGTTAATAAAAACCCACCAGTTGCTGGTCTCCTGTGGGCTGCTTTGAAAGGTGATGGTTCTCAAGATTTGAGGTTTCTGAAGAGCCCATGAGGACAGCAGCCAGGACACTGCCAGTGGACACTGCGTGCTGCAGGGCAGCGCTCAGCTCCCACTGTCCGCGCAGTGACTGTGTGGCCTCAGGCGAGCTGCCTGGTGTCCAGATTCTCCGCCTTCCAGAGTGTAAGGTGGAGGACGCAGGCATCATGGGCCTGTGGGCTGTTAGGACTCCGTGCAGACAGCATCTAACTCTTCTGTTTCGTGGGCTTGCTGCCGTGCACTTGGAATTCCATGCCCGCCCTGCAGAATAGCAGCCTATGAACTGCCAGTGTCTGCCTCCCTGGAGAGTTCCCTTCACAGGAGACTGACGATTAATAGAATACAGTTAACACCATTTATTCAGTTAAAAATCAGCTTAGGTGTGTCAGAGTGATATGGGGACCAGTAAGAGAAGTAATTCCTCATGATTTTTCTTGCGTAGCTCTTACCAGGTTTGCTTTTTATCTATAGCCATATAATATTGCCCACGTTTTCTGTTCTTAGTTTTAATTTGATGTTTAATATCGTTATTGTTAGAGATCACTAATGTGGTAAATATCTTTATCTTGGCATACTTCTCATATTTTCTGTAAGGAGCGTTTTCCTCCCAGTTTTTGTCATTTATCTCCATTTGTCTCTGTTGTTGTTTCTTGAGACAATATTGCGCTCTGTAGTCCAGGCTGGCCTTGAACTCACTGTGTCATTCAGGCTGGCCTCAACCTCGATGTGATCCTCCTGCTTCAGCCTCCCCAGGGCTGTGATTACAGGCCGACAGCCCCACTCCTGGAAGTTTCTGTGTTTTATAAGGCAGCAGGAAAAAATGTGTGTTTTCCTATTCTGACTGTACACTTCTGATGTCTACATTTTCTGTTCTCAGTGCCTAAGCACCCTGGTGACAAAAGGCCCCTCAAGTCTGAGACCTCCCAGGTGGCGCCCAGGGCAGAGTGCCAGCAGAAGGCTCAGCCGCAGCCCCTGCCAAAGCCACAGCCAGTGCAGAAGCTTGGCCAGGGCCTGCAGGTGACCGCCATGTCCCTCTACCCGTCCCCAAGGAAGATGCCTGTCAAGGAACTCCCGCCCTTCGGTGAGTGCCTGCCCCTGGCTGTGTGGGGCCAGCGGTGTCCCAGGCACCTTGCCCAGCGTCCCAGAATCTCTCGGTTTTCTTTTCTGCGAATAAAAGGGAAGATTTCCACAGGGAGAGGGACTGTTTCTAGATAAACGGGGTCTGTGCCTCACAACGGGGAGGAAGAAGTGGAGCAGTGAAGCCCCCTCGGTGTGTGAGCACTCGGGGGTCCTCTCCTCACCCTCGCTGTTGACTGTGTGGTCGGTGAGCTGGGGAAACGTGGCCTGAGTGTTTCTCAGGTCAGTGCCTCGAACCGAGCTGGCTTCAGCCATGTCAGTAGCAGGCCTCGGAGCCTGCCTGCAGGCATGCCGGCCATGGGCACAGCTCTGCCTCACCGAGCTCCCACTTCTGCAAGTTTCAGGCACTGGAAATACGGACAGAGCTCGCAGGTTAATGAAATTATACCTCATCTTTTTCCTTAAAAACAGTGCATTCATTGGTTTACCCTTCTCAAATAGATGCACCACAGAACAAGCTTTCATAAAGTGTGCCCACTATTTCTTCTGCCTGTCTGTGGAAGGAAGTAACCTGAACAGAAATAAGGAATGTTTTTACCAGGGTACAGCAGGCTGGCTTAGACGCGCTGGGCCTTGGGTGAGGTCCCTCGGTCTCTGTGCTGGGCGCTGTTGGCTGACCTCCATCCTCCCTGAGGCGCCTCGGAGGAGTGTGGTCGAGGTACCCTGCCCCTCTGTGCGGAGGGCACCATGTGTGAAGTGCTGACACTCTGCTGAGGCCCTGCCAGCCTGAGGCTACTGCCTGCTGGCCTGTAGCTTTGGTGCACTTGGAGTTTTCACACCGCTGTGCCTGACAGTATCGCTTCTTCTCCAGAGACGCCGTGTAGAGTGCAGAAGGCTGCTTACATGAGATGGCATGCTGGCAGGAAGGGGACATGGTTTGGGGCTGTTCTTCCTTTCTGGAAATCTCTCTGCTTGTCAGCTCTGAGGGAGTTTGAGGATGCCCCATAGTACTATGAGAAGCTTTGTAAAGTGTCTCCCATACTCCTGGAGAATAATCAAGGGGTCACTTTGTGTCTACCCACGCACCCTTCCCGGCCAGGCCCATGCACCCTGGGAGCCGCCCTCCTGGCTTCTGTGGAAGAGGCAGCTAGTTTCCTCTTCCTCTGTGGACTGAGTACATTACTGATGAGGACCCTTGGTGCTGTATCCTGCCTCCCCCATCCGCTCCGTGTCTCTGGGCCCTCTGCTTTTCTCCTGGTGTTCCCCTTTCCCCAGAGCTGAACTGCCCCGTAGTAGCAAATACCTGCTTCCAACCCAAGCTGGAGTTGAAGTGACCCCACTGAGCCCCGAATTCAGATGTTCACATATTGTCCACTTAATCTTGGTTGTTGCCAAGCACATGGTTATGGTGTCAGAGGTTTGGAATTTAAAACATCCACAGCCACCTCTTGGCCCTGGGAATCGGAAGTCTGAGCACAGGCATCTCTGCCTCCTCCACCTGTTCTCATATCGTGACGGTACAAGGAATATCCAGTTGTAAATATGTGGAACCTTACAGTAGCACTGAGTTTCAATACAGCCCTTTAGTTGTTAGAAGTTTTTAGTTCTTTGCTTATTTTTGTAGGCATAAACTCTCCGCAAGCTTTAAAGAAGATCCTCTCGCTGTCTGAAGAAGGCAGTCTGGAGCGCCACCCAAAGCAGGCGGAGGACATGCTGTCCAGCGCGTCCTCCAAGCTCTTGTCTTCACCCACATCCCCGCAGAGCTCGCCCAGGAAAGGTAGGGCTGCAGTGGTGGGCTTAGGCGCTGCCCTCTGCAGTCATAGAATTTCTTGCTGATTTCACAGGTTTTAATCTGCTCAGGGTGCCTTCACAGTCAGGGGCCTTCCCTCATTTTAAGCATTGGGAAGAATTTTTGTATTTCTTTTTAATATTACAGTATGTCAGATTTATCAGTTACACAGTCCTTTTGAACATCCATTTGCCTTTTTATTAATCCTAAATGTGGGAAGAATTCTTTCTATGTAAACATTCGTTCTTGTGTGACTGACGTTAGTACAGGGAGGAAGACTGTAGGGCCGAGCACCTGGTGTGTGTCTGTCGGGGTGGCTGGGCCTTGGTCCCCTTCCCCTACCCATGGGCCTGGCCCTTGATCCTCCCCCTTGGGTGGTGGCAGCCAAGGCTGTGCCCCATTGTCACTTGTAGAGTCCCGGAGCTGCTAACGTATGGCCAGGCTTCACTGTGGCCTCTGAGTGCCAGATCTGGGTGGGGGCTACGACTGCGCTGTCCCTGTGTCCTGCGGTCAGTGGCAGTGGCGCTCAGCTGAGGCACTTTGACTCTGGGCAGCTGGACTTCGCTGGTTCCTCTTCTTTCCCGGGAAGTGAGCACCACCAGCTGTAGGATGGCATGGGACCAGGGCAGGTGGAGCTCTCAGAACTGGAGTCCCCGGGTCGTAATGCCTGAGGGGCAGGCGCTGTGCGCGACCCTCTTTCCCAGAGACAGATTGATTTTGGAATGGACTTCTGAGGGACAGATTTAAATTTCATCTGGCAAGACTTGCAGTGTGATTATAGACATTTCATAGGTAAACACATTAAATCTTAGCAAGACCCTATGTGACCTTGAACAAATAAATCAGGAATTACTAGTTTAGTGAAATGGGGGCCACTTAAATTGGCAAATTTAGGTCCTCCAGATTTATTTACATATTCTATATTATTTATTTTGTAGTAAGTGGCCTTTAAAAACTTACATGGTCTGTGATTGTATCAAATGATTTTGAACTAAGATGATTACATGCTTAGTAATGCAGAAAAGAAAAAAATGAGTGCGGAAAAGGAATATTCAGATTTTAATGGCGTGGTGGTGCACCCCTACACTCTGTGCCAGCTATCAAAAGGCTGGGGCAGGAGGGTCGCTGCAACTTTGAGGCCAGCCTGGAATGCTAAGACCCTGTCTCAAAAAAAACAAAACAAATGAGATTTCTACTTTTTAACGCTGATTGGTGCATAAGCAGACGCCCTGTGCCCAGCCTCCATGTGCTGTGACCTTGGGCCACAGGGTGTGGGGGACAGCGGGCGCTGAGCTCGCTTGGCACAGCCCTGACTTCTGTATCTCCACTAAGCAGTCCGGTGCTCCTCCTTAGGTAAGGGGCTCCTTTGTTAGGACAGGAGTGCGAACTCTGAGGCATGAGGGGTCCCCTTCCCAGTGAGCGTCCTGCATTTCTGCTTGGCTTTTCTTCCATCATGTGAGGTCTCCCATGTGTTTGCAGGTTACACCCTGGCCCCCAGCTGGAGCGTGGACAACTTCTCCGACTCTGGCCCCAGCGAGATCTCCTCTAGGTCCGGTATGGTCAGAAACTCCTCCTTGGACTCGGTGCCCATGGCCCTGCAGGAGGAGCGGAGGCAGCAGCACTCCGTGAGCCTGGTGGAGATCGGCCTGGGCGTTGTCAGGGCAGAGCAGCAGACAGTGCTAGAGCCAGACCAGTACAGCCTGGGGTGGGTGCCCTTCCTGCACCCGCCTCCTCGCCCTGCTGCCCCTCACCACCTGGCCCTCTGGGTGCCCGTGCCAAGGGCCCCATGGGACAACCCCATCCTGGACCCTCCTTGAGTACTCGTGGCTCCTTCTCCACAAACCATGCCGACCTCCTGGCCCTCGTGGACCTGCGGACTGCCCTGTCCCCTACCACAGAGTGAGGCAGAGGCTCACAGTCAGCTCCTCCTGTCCCGCCCTCCCCACAGGTCCTATGCAGCCATGGCCCTGGCCCAGGACGTGTTTGCCACAGCCATGGTGCTCTCGCAGGACCAGGGCTATTGCACGTCCCTGGATGCCGCCAACAGTGGCCATGGGAGCTGGACCTCATGCTCCAGTGACTCGCACAACAACATCCAGACCATCCAGCACCTGAGGAGCTGGGAGACGCCACTGTTCGGGCCTGTGCTCTGCGATTACCCCGTGGACCCCATGGGGCTCTGGGCCAACAGGGGCCACCTGGACCACGTGATTTTTGCCGAGGATGGCCAGAAGGGCAACAGACAGAACCCAATCGAAGAAAGCCTGGAGCAGGCGCAGTCCAGGGCCCGCTGGGCCTCTCCCACTGGCTGCAAGGACATGTCCCTTGAGGCCGAGAATGGCAGCAGCCTGGCGCCCGCGCCCACGGAGGAGCCCAAGGCTGGCCCTGTGCCAGCCACATCGAGCGCTACCAAGGGGCTGGTCGGTAAGTCTGGGGGGACTCCTCAGACCTCATCCTCCCAAGCCCAGGTTGTGTGCATGCGCATGTGCCCTCGAGATGCTGCTCTGCTGTCCTAGGCTGCCCAGGGCACCCAGCGTGGAAGTGGCTGGGGGACACGGCTGTGGTAGCAGTGGTGAGCCGGCTCTGTGCCTGAGTGTTTCTCAGGTCAGTGCCTCGAACCGAGCTGGCTTCAGCCATGTCAGTAGCAGGCCTCGGAGCCTGCCCGCAGGCATGCCGGCCATGGGCACAGCTCTGCCTCACCGAGCTCCCACTTCTGCAAGTTTCAGGCACTGGAAATACGGACAGAGCTCGCAGGTTAATGAAATTATACCTCATCTTTTTCCTTAAAAACAGCGCATTCATTGGTTTACCCTTCTCAAATAGATGCACTACAGAACAAGCTTTCATAAAGTGTGCCCACTATTTCTTCTGCCTGTCTGTGGAAGGAAGTAACCTGAACAGAAATAAGGAATGTTTTTACCAGGGTACAGCAGGCTGGCTTAGACGCGCTGGGCCTTGGGTGAGGTCCCTCGGTCTCTGTGCTGGGCGCTGTTGGCTGACCTCCATCCTCCCTGAGGCGGCTCGGAGGAGTGTGGTCGAGGTACCCTGCCCCTCTGTGCGGAGGGCGCCATGTGTGAAGTGCTGACACTCTGCTGAGGCCCTGCCAGCCTGAGGCGACTGCCTGCTGGCCTGTAGCTTTGGTGCACTTGGAGTTTTCACACCGCTGTGCCTGATAGTATCGCTTCTTCCCCAGAGACGCCATTTAGAGTGCAGAAGGCTGCTTACATGAGATGGCATGCTGGCAGGAAGGGGGGACATGGTTTGGGGCTGTTCTTCCTTTCTGGAAATCTCTCTGCTTGTCAGCTCTGAGGGAGTTTGAGGACGCCCCATAGTACTATGAGAAGCTTTGTAAAGTGTCTCCCATACTCCTGGAGAATAGTCAAGGGGTCACTTTGTGTCTACCCACGCACCCTTCCCAGCCAGGCCCATGCACCCTGGGAGCCGCCCTCCTGGCTTCTGTGGAAGAGGCAGCTAGTTTCCTCTTCCTCTGTGGACTGAGTACATTACTGATGAGGACCCTTGGTGCTGTATCCTGCCTCCCCCATCCGCTCCGTGTCTCTGGGCCCTCTGCTTTTCTCCTGGTGTTCCCCTTTCCCCAGAGCTGAACTGCCCCGTAGTAGCAAATACCTGCTTCCAACCCAAGCTGGAGTTGAAGTGACCCCACTGAGCCCCGAATTCAGATGTTCACATATTGTCCACTTAATCTTGGTTGTTGCCAAGCACATGGTTATGGTGTCAGAGGTTTGGAATTTAAAACATCCACAGCCACCTCTTGGCCCTGGGAATCGGAAGTCTGAGCACAGGCATCTCTGCCTCCTCCACCTGTTCTCATATCGTGACGGTACAAGGAATATCCAGTTGTAAATATGTGGAACCTTACAGTAGCACTGAGTTTCAATACAGCCCTTTAGTTGTTAGAAGTTTTTAGTTCTTTGCTTATTTTTGTAGGCATAAACTCTCCGCAAGCTTTAAAGAAGATCCTCTCGCTGTCTGAAGAAGGCAGTCTGGAGCGCCACCCAAAGCAGGCGGAGGACATGCTGTCCAGCGCGTCCTCCAAGCTCTTGTCTTCACCCACATCCCCGCAGAGCTCGCCCAGGAAAGGTAGGGCTGCAGTGGTGGGCTTAGGCGCTGCCCTCTGCAGTCATAGAATTTCTTGCTGATTTCACAGGTTTTAATCTGCTCAGGGTGCCTTCACAGTCAGGGGCCTTCCCTCATTTTAAGCATTGGGAAGAATTTTTGTATTTCTTTTTAATATTACAGTATGTCAGATTTATCAGTTACACAGTCCTTTTGAACATCCATTTGCCTTTTTATTAATACTAAATGTGGGAAGAATTCTTTCTATGTAAACATTCGTTCTTGTGTGACTGACGTTAGTACAGGGAGGAAGACTGTAGGGCCGAGCACCTGGTGTGTGTCTGTCGGGGTGGCTGGGCCTTGGTCCCCTTCCCCTACCCATGGGCCTGGCCCTTGATCCTCCCCCTTGGGTGGTGGCAGCCAAGGCTGTGCCCCACTGTCACTTGTAGAGTCCCGGAGCGGCTCACGTATGGCCAGGCTTCACTGTGGCCTCTGAGTGCCAGATCTGGGTGGGGGCTACGTCTGCGCTGTCCCTGTGTCCTGCGGTCAGTGGCAGTGGCGCTCAGCTGAGGCACTTTGACTCTGGGCAGCTGGACTTCGCTGGTTCCTCTTCTTTCCCGGGAAGTGAGCACCACCAGCTGTAGGATGGCATGGGACCAGGGCAGGTGGAGCTCTCAGAACTGGAGTCCCCGGGTCGTAATGCCTGAGGGGCAGGCGCTGTGCGCGACCCTCTTTCCCAGAGACAGATTGATTTTGGAATGGACTTCTGAGGAACAGATTTAAATTTCATCTGGCAAGACTTGCAGTGTGATTATAGACATTTCATAGGGAAACACATTAAATCTTAGCAAGACCCTATGTGACCTTGAACAAATAAATCAGGAATTACTAGTTTAGTGAAATGGGGGCCACTTAAATTGGCAAATTTAGGTCCTCCAGATTTATTTACATATTCTATATTATTTATTTTGTAGTAAGTGGCATTTAAAAACTTACATGGTCTGTGATTGTATCAAATGATTTTGAACTAAGATGATTACATGCTTAGTAATGCAGAAAAGAAAAAAATGAGTGCGGAAAGGGAATATTCAGATTTTAATGGCGTGGTGGTGCACCCCTACACTCTGTGCCAGCTATCAAAAGGCTGGGGCAGGAGGGTCGCTGCAACTTTGAGGCCAGCCTGGAATGCTCAGACCCTGTCTCAAAAAAAAAAAACAAAACAAATGAGATTTCTACTTTTTAACGCTGATTGGTGCATAAGCAGACGCCCTGTGCCCAGCCTCCATGTGCTGTGACCTTGGGCCACAGGGTGTGGGGGACAGCGGGCGCTGAGCTCGCTTGGCACAGCCCTGACTTCTGTATCTCCACTAAGCAGTCCGGTGCTCCTCCTTAGGTAAGGGGCTCCTTTGTGAGGACAGGAGTGCGAACTCTGAGGCATGAGGGGTCCCCTTCCCAGTGAGCGTCCTGCATTTCTGCTTGGCTTTTCTTCCATCATGTGAGGTCTCCCATGTGTTTGCAGGTTACACCCTGGCCCCCAGCTGGAGCGTGGACAACTTCTCCGACTCTGGCCCCAGCGAGATCTCCTCTAGGTCCGGTATGGTCAGAAACTCCTCCTTGGACTCGGTGCCCATGGCCCTGCAGGAGGAGCGGAGGCAGCAGCACTCCGTGAGCCTGGTGGAGATCGGCCTGGGCGTTGTCAGGGCAGAGCAGCAGACAGTGCTAGAGCCAGACCAGTACAGCCTGGGGTGGGTGCCCTTCCTGCACCCGCCTCCTCGCCCTGCTGCCCCTCACCACCTGGCCCTCTGGGTGCCCGCGCCAAGGGCCCCATGGGACAACCCCATCCTGGACCCTCCTTGAGTACTCGTGGCTCCTTCTCCACAAACCATGCCGACCTCCTGGCCCTCGTGGACCTGCGGACTGCCCTGTCCCCTACCACAGAGTGAGGCAGAGGCTCACAGTCAGCTCCTCCTGTCCCTCCCTCCCCACAGGTCCTATGCAGCCATGGCCCTGGCCCAGGACGTGTTTGCCACAGCCATGGTGCTCTCGCAGGACCAGGGCTATTGCACGTCCCTGGATGCCGCCAACAGTGGCCATGGGAGCTGGACCTCATGCTCCAGTGACTCGCACAACAACATCCAGACCATCCAGCACCTGAGGAGCTGGGAGACCCCACTGTTCGGGCCTGTGCTCTGCGATTACCCCGGGGACCCCATGGGGCCCTGGGCCAACAGGGGCCACCTGGACCACTTGATTTTTGCCGAGGATGGCCAGAAGGGCGACAGACAGAACCCAATCGAAGAAAGCCTGGAGCAGGCGCAGTCCAGGGCCCGCTGGGCCTCTCCCACTGGCTCCAAGGACATGTCCCTTGAGGCCGAGAATGGCAGCAGCCTGGCGCCCGCGCCCACAGAGGAGCCCAAGGCTGGCCCTGTGCCAGCCCTCAGGGTGGCCACCTCGAGCGCTACCAAGGGGCTGGTCGGTAAGTCTGGGGGGACTCCTCAGACCTCATCCTCCCAAGCCCAGGTTGTGTGCATGTGCATGTGGCCTCGAGATGCTGCTCTGCTGTCCTAGGCTGCCCAGGGCACCCAGCGTGGAAGTGGGTGGGGGACACGGCTGTGCTAGCAGTGGTGA